CAAAAATACAACATTTGCTTGCGAATTTAACCAAAAAATAAATTTTGTAGATTTTTATTTAAAAAAATCCTTTCCCACTCCAATCCACCACCGCGCTCGTTGCTACAGAAAACCTCCTGAGATGCTAACGCTTGCGAAGGCCATTATGGAAACAAGCACAACATACAACTGAGATCTTCATATTTGCAATTACGCCTGTTTTTCAAAAAAAAAAAACCAAACCTCTGTTTTGCCTTTGCTCAGCGACTTATCCAGGATGCTAACTTGCTTCCCACTTCCCACACGTTGCATACTCGGCCCCCTCTCTGAAAAATTAGCTGATGATGACAGACAGCCAATCATATGAGCAATACTTTTGGCGATTTTCAAATGAACACAAATATACATATAAGAAAAAAATGCACCAACATTTGCACAGTAAATATTGTATACCTGAAAAAATATGATAATAAAAATAAAAAAAAAGAAAATCAAAGGAAACAAAGTAAACAGATTAATATGAATAGCTTTAAAGGCAAAGAATAATAATCCAAATGAAAAAAAAATTGGACAAAATGTAAAGTTTGACGTGAAAAAAAAATAAAAAAGTAATTTATCAGATAAAGTAACATAATAAATGTTGAAAGGTGGAACAAAGTACAAATATTACGCGAAGAGCAATGAATGAAAAGGAATGTTTCGATCCATCAAGTCGCATATGCTCCTTAAAAATGTCACAAGTGGGAATCTCGTCAGCACGACAATTATGACAGATTAATATTTTAAGTGAAAATGCAAGGCTTTTTCGAAAGTCTCTTTTGTAAAGTATAGCTGCTAAGCAAGAAAACTAACGAGAGCTCATCGATCCCTGCGCACTTTTGCACAACTTTTTACCATTAAAGAAGACCGCCCCGAACAATGATGTGAAGAATGTTTTACTGCTTCAAAATCCGAATACATAAACGATGTTGTGGGATTTGCATTATCTGGAAGTCTCTCTTCCAGATGCATATTTACTTCTTAGCCAAGATAGACATAATTCCCGACTTCCCCCAAATCATCACGAATTTTATAATTTGACTAAAGGAATACACCGAAACTTTCCATCACGTTCGTTTTTTAAGCGTTTTTTTGCATCTATGCACTGCAGGAAACGCATATTGACGAGGGCCTGTGTGTGTGTGTGTTTGTGTGTATGTGTGTGTGTGTGTGTGTGTGTGTGCGTGTGTGTGTGTGCGTCTACCCCAGGGTCCGTCTGTAGAGATTTTTCATCTTCAGACTTATAAAAACTACACGACTGAAATTTTGGAAATTAATCTGCAAGCATGTGCGGGCTCCCACTTCCAAAATAGGCGCTCTTACCCGCGTGGTACCCACGTACGGGTCCACCAAAGTTTTCGACGCTAACTTGGGAACCAGGAAAGCTAGAAGGCAGTGATTTTAAGAGTATGTTTCCCGTCCAGGTGTTGATGATCTCAAATAGGAACATGCGTGATTCCCACTTACAGGCGCGGGGAAATTTTTTTCAGGTAAGTTACCAACTCGGGAAACAGCAAAGCTAGGAAAGTGGAATTTTGTGGGGATGTTTCCTCACAGTCCTGGCACCAGTCTTAATTCTTTCAGCTAGAAGCATCCGCAGGAAAAACCGGTGCCGTTAGCGATAAAAATCTGCGGGGCACTACGCAAAAAACGCACCTTCGCACCGGCAGTCGGTATGCTGGCTAATTATTTCAATCTGTTTTTCAGGCCTTTCTACTTATCTCGAAAAAAGTTCCTGCAGCAACTCATTTCGCAGGCGCTAATGGTTCAACTGTTCGCCATACGTACAAAATTCATTTTCGATCTAATTCGCGAAATACTATCTCTGGTGAGGAGCAATGAATAATTCAGACGGTGCGCAACCCTTGCTTTGCTTGCCCTTGATTGTTATGTGGAATGAAGCAGAAACGGACTATTACTAGAACTCCGTTTGATTCCGCTCAACTACACAGTATGCACTCACCTTCGGGTTCGAATTTAACTTGCAAAAATCGCAATACCGAATTTCTTGCCCGGGAATAAGGTTCTAAGTGTAGTTTTCAAGACTGCCAATTTCTCCTCAGCTTTATACTTCAGGCTGAGCACGAAGAATTCGCATGGGTAATGCTTTCCACAAACCGAACCCTAATCATTTTTATTTGAATTAGTTTCCAGCCATCTCAGTCTGCAAGAGCTCGTAGCATAGCAATCATCTGTAACCTATCGAATATTTTTTTCATAATCGACACAAAAGAGATCGAAACGTCACCCATTTTCATTCTTAACAGCGTCAGTGCAGGATGGTATAATCCCTCCTTTACTGCTTAAGGTGAGCATTTTTTTTAAAAAAAGTTGAAACCTCTTGTAAATTCATGAAATATGCTGGATTACAGATCTAAGAATCAAGGACATATCAGAGACGACACAATGTTAGACAATTTATGCATACAAAACCATTAAATTGGATAAAACACAACAGAGCGGAGCATAATAAAAAAAAAATCAACTGAGAACTAGAAACACATCAACGACAACAACACTTACATCAGTTCACTTTTCTGCTACAGTAAATAAAATTAAAAGAACTGCTGTGATTGTGCTGAAAGGCAGTTTGCTCTTTTTATTACTGCACACTGAGTGGTCAGTGGCTCCCAGAAGATGGACCAGGAAAAAAATGACCAAAGGGAACATTACGGATTAACTGCGGGCAGCATTTCAACAAAACTAGCTAATTCACAGGTTCTGCGAACTAAAGTAATCACGAATACAAAACAAATGTATCTATTGAGCCGGAGATAAAACGCTGGTGAACCCATCTAGTGGCTGATTTATTCTGAAATTTTCTTTAGAAATCTATACCATCCGTGCTAGTCATCAAACACAGTCAGAAATAAATGGGGAAAAGATTACAAATCCTGGGAATGTATTCAGAAAACCACGACAATATGATGTCTTTTGAGCAGCCATCTTTTGAAATTTGGACTTCTCGTTCCCTACAGAACCGTTTCAACGAGAAGTAAAAGCCTTACTCCATGGGAGTCAACAACTGCAAGTTCACCATCTCTTCATTCAGGCCCTTTGCAGGGGCAAAACGGTGCGCGAAACTATAGCACATAATGATTTT